AATTCGCCACTCCGATCGGGTAAATTCGCCACCCCTTAATGCCATTTTATCTCTTGTTTTTGTGTTGCTTTTTCATTTGTTTCCTGGTTGTTGTTTTTGGTTTTTTTGGTTGTTTTTTTTTTGGGGGGGGGGGGTTGTTGGTTTTTTTATTAAGTCAAATAAAAATGGAACAATTTTTAACCCCTTAGATACAGGAGATCACAAAATAAGAATAATATTCTTAACATCATCATCAGATAGGCTAATCTATCTATTTATCAGCATTTTTAGTAGCCTTTTCAATCTTCTTCTGAAGTGCTTTCTCCTTCCTCTCTCTCTTTTCTTTTTCTTTCCTTTCCTTTTTTTCTGCTGCCTCTCATTTCTCCTGGAGCACCTGTTCAGATGTTAATAGTCTGTGAGATGGAATCGCTCTTGATTTCCAAGTGGTTGTGTTTCCTGGGGACTGGGAAGCAATGCCAAAAATTTCATTTACGGTTTGGTTCCAGTAGTTTGCCTCCGGGAGTTGAGTTGGGTTGGTTTCTGGCTGAGTGTCGGTGACGGTTGGTGATGATTCATTGACAATATCATCAATGTTGACATCTTCTCCTTCGACGTTAACGGTGAAGTTGAAGAAATCAAGATTCCTTATTTCATGCATTGATATCGTCAAGACGTCCCCAACATCATCAATAGTTTGCTCTTCCACTTCCATGGGACATGGTGTTGGCGTTGCTGCAGGTTCAGATCCAGGTTCAGATTCTGTTGATGACGATGATGCTGTTGCAACTGCAGGTTCAGATTCTGTTGATGACAATGATGCTGTTGCAACTGCAGCCCTATAAGCATCTCCTGGCAAGAAAGCCGATTCAGGTATTCTTGTCTTGTCTACAGGGTGGATTCCAGTAGCTTCGAAAGCCTTTTGTATTAACTCTGGCTTCAAAGTTGACATCCAGGTTTTGGAAAGAAGGCTTGGCCATGTCACTTTATTTATGGTTTTCCCTGGATTGGCAGTTAAAAATTCTGTGCAGTGGCGTCTGTAGGCTGTCTTGAATGGTTTAAATACCACCCGGTCCAGAGGTTGGAGCATATGTGTGGTGTGAGGGGGGAGAGCCAAAACATGGACCAACTGTTCCTTCGCCATCTCGAGAAGTTCCAGGACCTCATGGCTGTGGTGTGAGTCTAGGATCAACAATTGAGGCCTTGAGTCTCCGCAGTTGGGGAGGAAAACTTGCTGAAACCATTGCACCCCAATGTCGTCGTTCATCCAACCATTTTCTTGATAGGCCCAAATGGTGCCTTCTGGGCTGTCCTGGATAGCAAAGGAATGGATGGACCTGTTCGTTTTTCCCTTGACGACGCACATAGGGGGCATGGCAGAACCTGCGGCGTTAACACATACCAAGGTGGTAATGTTGTCTTTGGACGGACTGCACCTGGTCACTACATTCCGGGCTCCTTTTGCAGCCAGAACCTTTGAAGCATCCTGGCAGAATGTGAGGCCCGTTTCATCGCAGTTCCAGATCTGTGCTGGCTTCTCTCGTAATCCCAACTCAGTTATGATCTTGTGCAGATCTCCAAAATATCTGTCAACCACGTCCCTTTTCATCATAGCTAATCTGCTCGATAAGCAGTTCTCCGGAGTGCGAATTGCAATATCAGGTTGCCTTTTCTTTAGCTGCAACCAGTAATCCTTTCCAGGAACTTCATTTGTAAAGGGGGTCTTCAGGTGCAGCTTGCTGACAACTGATCCTACTTTCAGTAAATATTGCTGCTTGGTGATAGGGAATCCAGCAGCCGCAGCAGCGATGACCTTATCTACTATTTTGTTTTCAATGGCTTCGGGGATGCTTCTCTCTCTCCCAGCCCTTCTTTCCAGCTTCGATCGTCCCGAAACATGATCGGCAAGGGTCTTCCTGGGAATGCCGAATTGACGAGCTGCCCCAGAACAGCTCATCCCATTGGCAACTGCATCAATGGCTTTAACCAGATTCTCTCTGTCATATTTGCCGTACAAATTTTTTGACAGTGTTGGCATAGTGAATGGGTAGATATAGATCTAGACTTTGCAAAATTACTAGAAATAATAATGCAATAATGTTATATTACAACACACGTGTTAGGCTAGTAAATATTACAACAATGTATGTTAGTAACAAAAATGTAAGATAATTGTAAGGAACAGTGTTAGTAAAGGTTACAGCAATTTTAGTAACAAAAACTTGCAATTCAGGAAATGTAATACTGTGAAATAATGTTAGTTATTGATTTCACAATAATAAAGAAATGATTGTTAAAGATTACAACAAAGTTAGTGATCAAAGACCAAGATAATTGCAACTTTACAG